GGATAAAATAATAATAATAACAAAATATGAACCGTGGTTTTGGCTCAGGGACCCGAGGACCAGTTTAGATCCTATCAACGTAGTGATGTTCGCTACAGTAATAAATTGACTAATGTTAATTTTCGGCTTATTATCTATGTTGTGCCAAAAGACTGCTCCTTATTTCTGCCATATAACATTTTCTGCACTTGTAGATAGCATGATGTTTTTACTTTTCTTAAAACTTACATCATTAACAACTTAATTATCACTTTATTTTTATTTGAATATTTATTTATTAAGTTTTTTAAAAATTTAAAACGAAGGTTTACTTTATATCTTATCACTGTATTCGATTTATCTGAATATTGTAATTCAAAAAATTTTTATGAGTTCAGTAAATCCCATAATACAATATAGGTAATCATTAAATACGTTATTTTTTACAGAATTCATTTAATAATTATCAAGCTGTTAACATTGTTCAGTTTCGTACAGGTTTTCATAAACCAAATAATTATTCATATTCGGGATTCAGATTTATACTAGCGAAAAAAGCTTAAAAAGAATATGCAATAATAAAGTGTTGCAAAACCCGAGCATCTTACGTACAAAATCCATGCCAACTCGTACAATTACAGTACATTCATATAGGGCTGACAACCGTACGAAGGTTCGATGTAGATGTAATAATAAAATTCCCAAATCAGCAAATTATTAATTGTCATAAAATTAGATAATAAACGTACAAATTTCACACCATTAAATTCTTTTAGGGTTGAAATTTTAACGTTGGACATTTTCGTACCGGACAATAAAGTAAGACTGAGATAAAATAGGTTGCTTTCAATAGTTCGAAATAGTCAATGAAAATGAAAATTTATTGTTTTAAACAATTTTGTATTGATTAGAAATACATTATTAAATGGTTAAATAAAAGACTTTAAACAGATATTTGGGACATAAAATAAGATAAAATTGGTTTAAAGGCCTTACTCAAAGAATAATACCAAGACGCAAATGATAAGAGTAATACACGTCATTCTGATTATAACGACATCTGGCTAAAAAATTTTAATCTATACCGGTATACATAATATGAAAATGCCTCTGGTTGAAACGACATCTGGATATATGAATAAAAATTTATTTTGGGATGCGTTGATGCAAGTGCAAACTAAAATTTATAGGTAAAGTGAGGAAATATATTTATTTATGTGATAAATTTATGATACTTGAAAAATGATCTATTATTATAAGTCAATTTCATTCCTTCTTCCAGCACCTAGCCCATTTAGTTAATTTAAATCTAATTTGAAAATCTGCTCGAGATTTCTACAGTATTAATATATTCTGAAAACTTATTCGTGTCATATAGCTTGCTGGCATTTATATCTTGTGAATGTATTTGTTTAATCGGCTCTGGTTTAATATTATTAGCTTCAAAAAATTGATTTTGGATTTCATTATCATCTTCCTGATCTATTTATCCAATCAACGAGTGATTATTTCAACAATTTCTGTTGCAGTAGGTTGTTTATAGATATATTTATCCATACATTTCATAGCTAATTTAATATAACAATCTGGTCTTAAACATTTAGGTCTTAACCCATAGATAATTTTTGACACTAGATCACCATTAAACGGAATTCCATCAAATGCTCTTTGTCCGGTTGAAATCTCAGTCGCAATAACTCCAAAATTGTAAATATCTGATACTTCAATATACAGTTGACCCATCAAAATCTCTGGTGCTATATACGGCAGAATTCCTCAAATTTTTCATTCCTTTATTTTTTTAGAAAGTCCAAGATCAGTAATATATTATGCATTATGCAAATTTTCTTGCAAAATGTTTCCGCTGTGTAAATCTCTATGAGTTTCTGAGAATGAATTGATTCAAGATCCAAAACTATATAGTAAAAAACATTCAATTTATCATTCCATTCTAATTGTGATACTTCTATAAGATTTTGCCGCAATGAACCTTTTGGCATAATATCCATGGCAATAATATAATCCCATAAGTATTTCTTGACACACCCAAACAATTCAAGAACGAAGGATTTTCGTAACCAATTTACAGTAACACTTCAATTCTTGGATAAATTCTTGCTCACTTTAGCTTGAATAACGAATTACTTTAAGTGCAACATCTCTCCATTACTATTAATTGTATCAATTCGACGTGCAGAATATACAGTTGTAAATCCTCCTTTTCACAATTCACAGATATTTGTGAACTCATTATAATCAATCCAAGATAATTAAATCTCTCATAATCTAATACTCTCTTAAGTTCAGGATTAATATGATCTGGTGATTTATTTGTTTTCAAATTACTTCTGCATTTTCTGAACCAAAAATCTGCCTCCTGAATATCTCTCTTTGTACCGGCACCATTTCAATAACTAGTGCAATATTATTCATTGCTGACTTTGAACCCATATTAGCAGACTTTTCATAGTATCCAAATGCTTTATTATAATCTTGATCAATCCCATATCTATGCTCAAAGTTTCAGTATCTTTTAGAAAAAAGCTGACTTAAATTTTAACAAATATTTCTCAGTAACAACCTGTACAAATTTGTTAAGTTTTTTTCATTATTATAAAACGCACCTATGGTGGATTTGCACCTATCATATGTTTTATTATGTTCTTTAGATTTTTCTAAAACCAACACTACTCATTCCTATATCATTGCCTAAATCAGCTGACCTCTTACAATATCCAAATGATTTCTGGCAATTTTTTCTACTCCAATTCCATAAAAATAACAATTACTAGCATCATTTAACGCTGCTTTCATAGCATATTCAAATCCTTTCTTTTCATCTTAACACCAATACCATGTCAATATTCGTAACCAAGATTGCGAAGTTGTCAGTCCATTTTACTTAAGGAAGGAAAAAAAAGTCATACTCCAAATAATATACAAACTTTAATTGTCCTGAGCGTAACGGAGGACGTTTAATGTTTATATCAATAGTTACATTTATAGTTGTTAGACGAATTTCGCGCTGACGAAATGCGTAACCTAGTTTCGTCTTTCGTCAATTAAAATTTTAAATGATGAAATGACGAAACTGACGAAAGGTGACGAAAGGTGACGAAACTGATGAAAGGTGACGAAACTGTAAACATAGTGATGGCAGAAAGAACCCGCGATCAGATGATTTTTGATTGTTTTGAACCTCAGTATAATAATATATATCAACATAACATTGGGTCACGATCATCTGATCGCGAATTTTTTCTGCCACCACTATGTTACCTGTAAAGGGCGACAGAACTAATAAAAGACGAATGTACAAATAAATGTTGTTGAAAATCATTGAAATGTGTGTATAAAAAATAACAGAAATTACAAAAAATTTTATTGTAAAATAGGCGCTTTAATTGTTTAAAGGGAGTTAGAAATGAGTATTCTATAGTGAAAAATCGCTTTGTGTTTGTGATATTGAAAATTTATTTTGTGCTAGTATGTTTTAATTCATTATTTGTGTTATTCCATGAGTACTATGACTTTTTGACAAGGCTATTTCAATTGGACTATAACAGCCCTAGCATTGTTCAGAAAAATGAACTGGGCTTGTTTTGCTGGCATACATGTAATTTCGGATATTGATCTCTGAATATTATGAATGTTAATTCAAAGAAAATAATGGTTGTTTTCTTTTTCGGTTTTTTTTTTTTTTTTTTTTTTTTTTAGCATGAGCACTATGGTTTCGTTTTTTGAGTGTTTTTTTGAGTGTTTAGGTTTCGTCTTTCGTCATCATGCGAAAAAGGTTTCGTCTAACAACTATAGGCCCGATAGCCACTTTAACTTTAACTATAAATTCCAAAAAAAGTTGTAACTATGCCATTGTGATGATATTAAAAATTCACGATTCGTGGCTTTGAATACGTCATGTGCTGTAAGTCTTACAATGTCGTTATTGTGTATCGATTTATATTAAATATTGATAAATTGTATTATTTTTAGCTTATTATTTGTTCTAAAACGGATGATGCCGGTAATAATTTTATAAAAATATTTCGAATAATATTCGGTATAACAAATATTTATTGAAGTTTTATTTTTAACATTTTAGAATATTGAAGAGTATACGTATGAAAGTTATAAATAATATATATAAATAAATAAGCAAATAAATTATTGTTAGACAACAAAACAAAAAAAAAAAGGAAATGGAATTGGATTTGGAATTGGATTTGGATGGAGGTGGTCTCGAACACGCGAACCCTGCAGAGCCCTACGGGAGCTTAACCACTAATCTAGGGATATGTGCACATCAATTTTTGAAATTGTACTCCTTTTGAAGATCAATTATTCCGTCATAATGGTCCAATAAAATTGTCGAATTTCTCCACGTGAGTTCGTAAATTAGCCAATCATATGAATGTCTTCCTTTGATAATCAGTTCACAATTATCGTTATCGTATTTAAACCCGAAATTACGCATTATGTTATATGGAAAATTTTTTATTCCAAGAAAATGCATAGAATAACATCACATCTTTCAACATTAACTTGTTCTCGATAAACTTGCAAATTTAAAACATGGATAATAAAGTTACCATTTATGTAAAAGACCTCAAAGATATAAAAATTGTATTGCTTATCGTTCATTTTTATACGAACCACCTAAGGAAGAACGCTTAGATATTTCTTTGGAATTTTCTACGGCTAAAGAAGTTTTGCCTCTTCTCCATGCGGTTAGGACACGTGATCAGGATGCCACCTGGAAGATATACCAGGAGCTTCAACAAACACGAAAACTTCATCTTTTATCACCTCAACAACATTCCATTATATTAAAATCATTTGATATTAATGGTAAATATCTATTCACCAAGATAGAAACAATCATTTTTAAAAAAGAAGCTTTTTTATATTTTCGATCAAATGAAAGAAGTTGGTCACGATCCGAGTGTAATAGATTATTCGCATGTGATGAATGTTTTTAGCAGAAAATTCCTGAAACACCTGATAAAAATTAGCCGAATGATTTTTCGGCTGATTCGGTTAAGTTTGTAATTTCGGAATAATATATTCAGTAGAATTACAAAATTGTACGTAACTTTTACATTAAATAGTGCAATGGCGCAAAAGTTTTGCCACCATTACTAGACTTTATGTGCCGGCGCTATGAAAGTTCTGGCCAATTATTCATATAACAAAAATTATATGTAATTTTGACATTAAAACTTATACAAATTTACGCAAAAAACGATACGTTCAATGTTATTAAATTTTCGGTTGAATGTTTGGCGTGTTTTAGTTTGTGCTAAAACTTATGGAGAAGCTTATGGAAAGCTTATAGAAAAACTAAATATTGACAAAAAATATAAAAAGTTCCAGATATAAAATAGACATTTATAATAAACATATTATACGAGATATGGTCAAGAATTTTGTCGACTAGTTTTACAAATAAACTGAAAATAACTCGAAATTTTAATTAAGAAACACCTTCTGCGGCCTAATTAAAAATGTTCCTTGTGAAATTTTACTAATAGCAATAACCCTAACTCTTACACTGTTCTCGCTCTGACCCTAATTATAACGCGGTTTTATAAATTCACGGGTGGGGAAAATTTTTGTGGGTGCGCTACCTAAAATTCGAATCACCATATATCAACTTTCGTGTAACAAAAGTACTAGTTCATATACTTTCTCGCACTACATATAAGATCCCGACAATTTTTGATTTTTTACCAATGCTTAAACCTAAAAATATTACACTGGTTCTTAAACAGGCGACCACAGGAGGCGTTAAAGCAACACTGTATGTCCAGCATTCTTGCATACTTGCTCAGCATTGTAGAATTTTTACCTGACAAAATTTTTATCTGACAAATTCTTCTGAAGTCTTTTAAATTCTGAAGGTTCTCCTTTAGCTTTTGTTTCTGAATTGGATCGTGAGGCCAGAATTTATGCAGCTATAGCATCTAATATTTGGTGCACTTTTGAAAAAACCGGAAAAAATTTAATGAAAGATGATGGATTGAAATTTTTATTAGTAGAGTGTGAAGTAAAAAAAAAAAAAAAAAGTCTAGAGTATTGATAATGTATTTGTTGACAATTAGCTTTCACTTAAAATCATTAATTTTAAAGGAAGGAAATGTTGCTATCACAACAGTTAGCAATATGCTATTATGCCTTGTCGCAAAACCTAATGTTGAATTGGGAATATTAAAGGCAAAGGTTTTTATATGCATTAATCTCTTTCATCCATTACTTCATGTT